GAAGAGTTAGAAAAATAAATACTAATGACTATTATCTATTTGGAGCCCTGGTGCGGTGCTGTGGGTTTAATGCAAAGTCAGTTTGAATCACAAGGTCAGCAGTTCAAACTCACCAGCCACTCCTTGTAAACCCTTTACCGGGTCGCTATGGGTCAGAACTGCCCTGACAGTACCTAACAACAACAACAACAATTATCTATTTTACTTAAAAATAAATATGAATATGCTACTACATAGATTTGTGGGTTTTTTAAAAACAAATATATAGAGAGCGACTATTCCCGTTTTGTTTTTGAATTATGCCTTGTGTCTTTGGGAGTACTAGTGTGGCACTGTAGGCTAAGCATTTGAACTGCAAGGTCAATAGTTCAAACTCAGGAGCCACTCCTTGAAAACCCTATCCAGGGTTGCTATGAGTCGGAACTGACTCCATGGCACTTAACAACAGCAATATGTGCCTTGGTGTCATCTTTACATCTTGCAGCTTTACATTTTCATTGATTTGGGGGTGTCTGGTGTATAAGCAGAAATGAAAAGAGGAGGTGAAACGCAAGACAACTTTGTTAAATTTTAGCATCTCTGTGAGAAAAAGATGTAGCAGTGTGTAAAGATCACAGCCATGGAAAATGTGGGACAATTCTATTGTATCCTACAGGACCACTATGAGTCATAACTGACTGAGTGGCACACAGTAAACAAAGCCAAACTAACTGCCATGAAATTGATTCTATTGCTTAGCGACCACCCTATAGGACAGACTAGAGCTGCCCCTACGGTTTCCAAGGCTGTAATCTTTATGGATGTGCACGGCTGTATCTGTCTAACAGAGCAACTAGTGGATTCCACCCACCGAAAGCCATTTGAACTTCAAGGCCAGCGGTTCAAGCTCACCAGCTGCTCCTCGGAAACTCTATACAGGGTCGCTATGGGTCAGAACTGATTCAATGGCACTTAACAACAATCTTTCAGGTGGAATCCTGGTGTGGCACTGTGGGTTAATACACTGGGCCACAAAGTCTTTATGAACCGCAAGGTCGGCAGTTCAAACTCACCAATCGCTCCTTGGAAACCCTGTACAGGGTCGCTATGGGGCAGAATCGACTTCACATAACAACATCCTTTCAGTTAGCAGCCAAATGCTTACCAACTGTGTCTTCAGGGCTCCTCTCAACTCTAGTATAGTGTTTTAAAAAGATCCATCCATATGGTTCTTTTTCCAATTGTTTTTAACTTATTTCTAATTAAAAAGGAAAGTTTTACAGTGCCTCTGTATGTAAAGTATGGCTATGGCTCCTTTAAAAAAAAAAAATCTTGTAAATAAGAAGGAAAAGTAGATCCATATAAAAAACTAAGCTATTAACATTTCCTTGGTCAGAACAGAAAAATTTCTTATGTTAACCTTCTCAATGGTGTGACTTCCCCAAGGATCAAAACCTCAAGAAAATAGGGACAGACTAGAGGATGAAAGAGTGTAATTATGCCAAGTCACATTCAAAATGAATACCAGCAACTCTAAATTACAATTGCTCTACTTGATAATACTTTAATTAAAAAATGTATATCCTTGCAATGTTACCAGTATTTTTTTTTTTTTTTTAACTAAAATACATGAACTAGTTGAACTATAACTGGCATTACCTTATTTAGGTGAATTTTAATGGCTATTGAGAAAATGACTGAGTTTATTCCAAATAAAATATGTTTGAACATGTTTCTGGGATCAGTGAGTGACTGCAGACAAGTTCTCCCAGGAATGTACTTGTCTTAGTTTTGTTAGGGTGCCTTCAAAAAAATGTCCAAACATATCAAGTAGCTCCTGAGGTGGGGGGTCTAGGCCAGTAACATTTAAGGCAAAGAGGTCAGTTCAGAGGGTTATACCAGCTGCCTTTTGGTTTTCCAAAGGGGTGATCTTGATCAATTTTCTTGGAGGACCCAGGATGATCATGGCACTTATTATTGATGAAGATTGAAGAAAATTAAAAACTGCATCAGTGAGAAAAGGTCAAGAAAATTGTTCTGAGGATTTTTTCCCCTCATCATGGCATTGCACCTGCTCATTCTTTGGGGGAGAGTGGACTGTCCTATAAGAATTTCATTGGGAAACTTTACTGTCTCCACCCGACAGCCCTGATCTTGTCGCTTCAGACTCTTTTTTGTTCCCCAAACTCAAAGAATGTTGAAAAGGAGCATGCTTTGAGTCCTTCAAGGGTACCCAAACTGCCATTTTAACATTGGCTAAATCAAGGAGCTCTGGTAGCGTAGTGGTTACGAATTGGGCTGTGAACCGCAAGGTCAGCAGTTCGAAACTACCAGCTGTTCCGCGGGAGAAAGATGAGGCTTTCTGCTCTTGTAAAGATTTACAGCCTCGGAAACCCTGCACAGGGTCGCTATGAGTCGAAACCGACTCCACGGCATACAGCAACAGTAACAAATCAAAAAGCACAGAATTCTTCAGTGAAGGGTTACGGAGATGGAAACACCACCCTCAGAAGTGTATAGGTCTAAAATGGGGACTGTGTAGAGAAACAATAGCTTGACATTTTGATATTTTTAGTTAATGAAGATTTTTGTGACTTTGTAGCAACACTTTGACTATTTGAGCTGTTGTGTTAGCCATTTAGTCATTACAGAGTGATTGTTCATCCCTGTGGCTATAGACCAGAGGCGCTGGGGCCAAAGCCAGTGTATCCTGGGACTTTGCTCATCTTTCTGGCCTTTTTTTTTTTTTAGTTTTCAAATTTTATTTTAGCCCTAGAATTCTGGCCCTTTTTGATTTACCCTAGAAGCCTTACATAGTTTCTGGAACCTACTGAAGCTTTCAGAAGATTTAGCACTGTAGACCTCACCTCTTACTGAGCATTGGAATCACTTGAACAAACATTCTAAGAAGTACAGACACACAAGTCCCACCTCCAGAAATTCTGATCCACTTGACTTGAATGTTGTTGTTGTTGTTAAGTGCAGTTGAGTCGGTTCCAACTCATAGCCACCCTGTATAGGGTTTCCAAGGAGCAGCTGATGAGTTTGAACTGCCAATCTTGCAGATCAAACTGACTTTGAGGTTGAGTGCTTATCCTATGGCGCCACACCAGGATTCCACTTGATGGGGCCCAAATTAACTGTTTAAAGATTCTTTGGAACTTCTGATATGCAACAGAAAGCAGAGAATCATTGGTTTCAAAGTATCTTTAATTCCATTCTAATTTCACAAGTCCCAAATAAGAATTTTGGGGGTGTCTTCATGGACTATAAATAGTAACATCCTACTTTAAATATGTAAGACGGTATTGAAGTAGTTCGAAATTATTTGCCCTCTTTGACCCTGAGATTTCTAAACACCAGTATGTCCCAATCTAGCAAGCACATAAGTTATTACTGCAACGCCATATCATTTGGTTATCTAGACTGCCAGAAAATGCTTGACCACATACAGAAGGTCACAAGGGCTGATAGCAACAGGTGACATTTTGAAGTATCTGTGGAAATGAACTCTGCCACAGCCCTGTAAGTGGGATGGAGTTTGACTTTTCCAGAAGTAATGAGTCAGTTGGAATGCCAGAAATGCACATTTGGTGTTTCTGTTCCAGAGGACAGTGGTAGTCCATACTTAACCAGGAAAGTCTACAGATATCATCAAGATTAACCAGCAGCACTGTTTATAGACGTTCATTAGAAGGAGTTGATTTCACACAATCAGCCAATAATAAATAAGTGTTTGTTTTTTTCTTTTTATTTACCCTATCATGAGTCTGCCAAAGATGGACTTGTTTAAAACTAGAACTGTGTCTGTAAGTTGGAAAATATTAATAACTCACTCAGAAAGCTGTTCCACATTTTTCTCAAGTGGGGAATCCAAATTTGTGTTAGATTATCATGGAGTAACTTAAATGTTACACTTCTTAAAGCCAAACATGCCTGTGGGTTTCTACTCATAAATTGATTTAAACAAGCTATGTTAATAGCATTGCCTTCAAGTCCGTTCATCATTTGTCTCTATAGTAGAGTATGGAATCAGGTACTGCCTGGCTGAAGGTCATGGGTTACACATAGCTATTCAAATTCTTCATTTTGGAGACAGCTGGATTACTCCCTGACCTGAGTTTAGTGAGTGGGAGGATCATCTTCATCTTTATGCCTTCCTGCCCTTTCTAAAATTAGTAAGGGCCTTTAACAAGGAGATATTTTAAGCAACTCATATTCACTTGTCTCATCAGGAGAAGTTTATTTCGGCCACTTGCATGTGTCAGATTTGCATGTTTGCATAGTTAGAGTGTGGAGTAGTAGTCCATGCTTCTCCACACCACTCATACAAGAGACTTGCAAAGATAGACATTGGATTACCAGCTGGAAGCTTTGGCTGCGAGTCAGTGGGTAGACATAAATGAAGGGAAGACACTTTTTAAGAATATGAATATGCTTCCGAAATCATCCATTACAGACATTTGCACATCAGTCCTCAGCTTTTCGGATCTGTTTTCATAAAACCTGGCTGTGATTTTGCTCCAGAGACCTCAATGATCTTGCTGCTTTAAATAAATATTTATAGGAGATTCTGCCAGCCTGAGGATAAGGGAAACTAATGAAAAACTGTCATCTAAAATCTGAACAGCAAAAGGCAAACCAAACTAAACCAAACCATCCAAAACAAAACCGAAAAAGAGCAGCTCAAACAATCTGTACTCACAAGAAGACTCGTAGAAAAATACCATGATGTAACTTTGATTTGATAACTGGATTTATCAGCCACATGATTGGCTTTCAGTGGGTACTTTGTATTTTTCTACTTTGAAAAAACAATTCAAAATCTGTGCAAATACAGGTTGTTCTACACAACTGGAACCAAAACCATTATGAGTGTGAGAAAACACAGACTCTAAAAGCGAGATGGAATGTAAGCAGGTAAATCCTGTTCCCCAGTCATACCATTCCAGTCCAGTTGTACTTGGTTCTCGTGTTTGCACCTCTAAGAAATTTCCATTTTTTCGCATCAAAAAATCCAGATATGAAGCTGAAGCTGCTTTCTTCGCCAACTTGAAGCTGTCTGATTTCAACATCATTGACACCCTCGGAGTTGGAGGTTTCGGACGAGTAGAACTGGTAGGTGATTTTTCTTTTAACTGCTTTTGAAAACCTTTCTTTTTTTCTACTCCCCCCGCCCCCTAGATTAAGTCTTTTCTCTCTTTGTCTTCGTTTCTTCTTCTGTCTCATAATTGATTGCTATAGATCCTAAACCCATACCAGATTCTTTCATATCGTCATGTCTGAGTTTTCAATAGTTAAAGTCAGCTGCTTTATGCAAACAGTAAACAAAAAAAAGAGCAATCATAAATTATATTTTTAAAAACCTCCTCATATTAAAAGAAAGGTAAACATATCTTCTTCTTTTTTTTTAAATAAATGTTTTTATTTTGGATTGAGTGAAAGTTTACAGGGCACATCATCAGCTTCACATTCAACCATTCATACAGCTCGTTTCATTACATTGATTATTATCCCCTCCATATATCATCAGTTAACAGTGTTTCTCTCTATCCTCTTTAGCTTTTATTTTTTGGGGGAGGGGGGGCGATGGGGAACTTGCCTTTTTGGAATTTACAGTCTCGGCTTTTAGGGAAGGTTTTTACATTTGTCTGTGGATATCCAGGGCTCATGTATGAGATTACTGACAAGCATTACTGAATAATCAGATGAGGGACAGTTTGCTATGTCTACTAGGTGGCTAAAGTCTGATCCTCAGAGCCTGTGGTTTGGACGGTTAAACATATCTTCTTACGGAATCATAAAGCATTGTCTTTCCAGTTGATTTTCCGTAACCTTTATGTACTTCCTAAGTTCTGAGTGGTGCACACTAACTTAATTAGTCCCCTTATCGACCATGATAATAATTTACATGTAAATTTCACTACATGTAAAGTGAAATGGGAGTCTAATATGCACAAATGTGCTATGTTTTAAGATTCTACCACTGCTTAAAAAAAAAAGTAAATTGAATGGTTTTTGTTGGCTAACACTGTGATCTTAAAATTGTAAACTCTTAATTAGATTACAGTGCTAGTGGTTCAATAAATTATATTTATATAGTTTATTTCACATTTAATTGTAATAAGTATAATTAAGTCGTGCTGAAGATGGTGACATTTTTGTACAGCGTATACATTAAACACATTGCATGGATATGATGCAAAACAAGATGAAAGCAAACTCTGTTGGACATTCGTTTGAAATATAAATCTTAACACTGACTTACTGCAATACAAGTAACAGAAAACTATGTTCTGGTGACTGATTGCTATGTCCCAACATTGTGCGGCTCTGAATGCTAGTTGAAAATGCAGATGAGTTTCCACCCCTCTGCTAAACACAGGCGACATCCCTGATAGCTGATACCAGTACAGTATGTTAGGAACTCCCAGGCACTGTGTACAGTGGAATAAACAGTTACTGTTGCCATCGGGACAGCAGAAATCCCTTCCATAAAAGTAGATTGACCTAGCACTATTTTTTCATTTTAGTCCATTTGAATTTCACTTGGAATATCTGACTTTGGTAGACAAAAAGATGCTGCCTCTTTAAACACTGAACAAGAAGATTTTAGAGTCATTATGTGTTTTCACTGAATTTGCTTTATGCTTCCCTTCCCTTTCTTTATGCTTAAGGAACAAAGGATAGTCCACAGTTTGCCTTTGTTTATTCTTAGGATCTGTGTATCTCAGTTGTTGTTAGTGACTTAAAATGTTTCGGGCTCATAGCAACCCTGTAGAGGGTTTCCAAGGAACAACTGATGGGTTTGAACCAAGGACTTGCAGTTCGATGCCTAGTGCTTACCCTACAGTGCCATACCAGAACTCTCAGAGGAGTTGAAATCAAGGAAGGGTCTAGAAAAAACAGTTGCTCTTCTTCATTCTACAGGTTATTACAGTCTTAAATTTATTTTGAGGAGTGTGATGGCTCTTTAGGATAAGCACTGTATTGCTAGCCACAGGTTCAGCGGTTTGCGCCCACCACCACTCCATGGGAGAAAAATGAGGCTTTCTGCTCCCGAAAAGATTTACAGCCTCAGAACCCCTATACAGCCTTATGCAGAGTTGCTATGAGTTGGAACTGACTCGGCAGCAATTGACAACAATAAAATTTATTTTTCAAGAACATCAATTTGAATGTCTGGTTATAATTGTCCATATAGTTAATGAAGATTTATTAAAAGCATTATACATGAGCAGCTTTGTACTAGTGGTAGGGCTACATATTTATGTTATCAACAGGACCAAGAGTAAAGTCCCTGGTAACCAGGGCTTTAGTATCTTTTCTGTTTATTTAGATTATTATTTGTGTCAAGTCCCTCTCTAAGAGATTAATTTGCGAACTAGTTTATTATAGATTCATGAATACTATAAAAAAAAACAAACTATGCGCAATAAAATTGCCACTTCCTATGAGGAGGAATCTGGGTGTGGCACTGTAGGATAAGCATTGGACTGATAACCACAAGATCAGAAGTTCAAATCCACCAGTCACTCCTTAGAAACCCTATGTAGGGTTGCTATGAGTCAGAACTGACTAGACAGCACTTAAAAGCATGAGAGGGAGACCAAATAAAAAAATCAGCAATACAGTCTTTTTGGCCTGCTGAAGGTCTGAAAACTTCAAATTTGGAACCTGTAAGTTACCACTAAAATATTTTATGAAATATCCAGGTAGGAATTTATGTAGAGTGCTTGAAATATTTCAAATAGCAAGCAGGCACTAAAAATGCATGTGAGAACCTCTAGTGTCCTGGCTGAGCAATTAAAATGTGGAAAATTTTTGGAAACTTATTTCAAAAAATGTGTGAGTAAGTAAAAACAACTGCCTTTACAATTAAGGAAGGTTCAGTATGGGCATATGAAAGGAATATAGCTACAAAAGACAAAATATATGTGTGTGTGTGTGTGATGTATGTATATGTATGCATGTATTTCTTTAACCATGTAAATATGCACATTTAATCTTTACCCCAGGAGAGATCTCAGATCCTTTAGCCTTATTTTCTTCTCATGGGTATTATATTTTACTCTTACCTACAAATATATATATATATACAGATACACATACACACACATACACATACACACATACATATATACATACACACATACACATATACACATACACACACATACATATATATATGTAGGCTTACATAGTGGTTATGAATCAGGCTGCGAACCGTAAGGTCAGCAGTTCAAAACTACTAGCTGTTCCGCGGGAGAAAGATGAGGCATTCTGCTCCCGTAAAGATTAACAGCCTCGGAAACCCTGTGCAGGGTCGCTATGAGTCGGAACCAACTTCACAGCACTTAACAACAACAACAACAACAATGAGAATCATAATTCTGAGAGCTAATGTAGATGAAAAATATAGCCCCAGTGGAGCTGTAGGATGAGCACTAGAATTGCTCACCACAAGGTTTGCAGTTCAAACCCACCACCCACTCCAGGGAAAATTATGAGATTTACAGCTTTGGAAACCCTATACAGGGTTGTTACAAGACATGCAGACCTTGGTGGCCACACAGGAGGCAGAAAAGTACCTTCAGAGAAGTGTCACATTTCACAGGAAGGGGGAGGACCCAGACAGAGCCCAGTTTAATGACGTATTCATTGAAGTTCTTAGCACTGCTAGAAGACATCTAGATAATGCTCTTAATTTACATGGTATATCGGTAAATATGAAGATTGATTTTACACCTTATAAGTGAAAATTAGACCCATTGTGTTATGATATAATAGAGTATACTTAATTTACTCTGCTTTTGCTCTTGTTAGAGGGGTTCCTGCTTTTTAGAATAGAATTGCACAAATCCAGACAAACTTCCTTTTACTCTGACATTGCTGTGTGGCGGTTGTTTTGAATATTTGTTATTTAATCTATTTATTTAGCAATGTGAAAGCCCCCTGAAGAATAAATATATGGAAGACCTAATAATCTATATCATCTGGAATTACATTCTTTCTACAGCAGTTATTATGTATACGATAAGCTCTTTTCTGGAAAATACAGCATTTCACTGGAAACAGCCCTTGTCTTCAGGGACTCAGCGTCTTCTTAGAGAGACAATCATGTAAACTAATAAGTAAACCCATAATCAGAGCATAAATAGCATGAAATCAGTCAGTGCGTGGGGGAAGAAGACTTCTTGTAGAAGGTGGCTTTTCCAAGGCACAGGGTGTTAAAAGGCATCAGCATATGTCACATGAATCCTGTGTCCTGTTGTGCATGCTTGGTAAGATGAAACTTGTTCAGGAACACATTTTATTTAATAAATTAATATGACATACTAATTGAAATAAGCATGCACTCATTTCAGCCCTGCTGTATAATCTTCATATTTCCGTCATGTACAGTATATCATTTTGTCCCGTGTGCTATTTTTCTACATTTAGTAGAAAAGAAGCTCAGAATGAGATGTGTAAGTTTCCTAAGGCCATGTAGTTAACTAAGATAAATATTGTTAGTACTTATAACTGCAGATTTTTAACTGGAAGCTATTTGTGTTGTGCTGGTCTCTAAAACTATGTAGAGGTTTAGCATGACCACAAACCACCACCACAAAATTAACCACGCTTTACTTTGTTGTCACATGTACACCTTGACTTTAAAACATTATCTCTTACCCAAGAAATAGAATTCAGTAGGTGAAGTGCTACAATTAGCTCCTCTTGACTTGTATGTCCGCCCAAGTGTCAGTGGCTCCCCCTTCTCTAAATCTTTTGCTGTTTCTACTTTAGTGGGACCCCTGGTGGGGCACTGTAGGTAAGCACTGGACTGCTGACTTCAAGGTTGGCAGTTCAAGCCCACAAGCTGCTCCTCAGAAACCCTACATAGTGTCACTGTGAGTCAGAACCGTTTTCATGGCACTTTGCAACAAACCACAAGAACTTTAGGGTGAAACTGTGTGTAGGGAAAAAAGAATCAGCCAGTAGAACATATTAACTTTGAAATTTGAGTTCTTCAGTGAGACTTCATAGACTCAGATTTACCAGCTGTATGCACTAGTCATTTACTCAACCCTTCTGAACCTGTTTCCCCATCTTTAAAATGAGGATAACAATAGAGT